AAATTATCGGAAAATCCAAATACACCATAAGAAAGCTGAGAAAATTTCCTATCGAAACCATATGTTTAATAATTTTTCCAGCCAAATCACAATGTCATAAGAGCGAGTTACAAGTTACAGCGAGCCGCGCAAGGCTGAAAATAGCGTCGAGCGGCCGAGCGCTAACTAAAACCTCCCGTATTTTCCTTAGTTTTCATCAAAAATACACTCTGAAAACTACCATATCCGATGTAAAAAGACCTCATCTTTCGATTGAAACAATAAAAAACTCAAAAAAAGTGGCGTTTTTCGAGATATTCGAGTTTGAATGTTTACTTGCATTTTCCGAGGTAAAAATGGAAAATTCCGGAAAATCGGACCTTACCATCAGAAAGCTGAGGAAATTTCCTATCAAAATCATTAGTTAGTTATTTTTTTGAGGGGCGTTTTGATACTTTTACAGTGAGTTAGAAATTCAGTGATTCGGACAAAAAATGCCGTGCGGCAGAGCGCTAGGACACTTCAGGAAATTTGCCCCATATACATATATACAGAACGGTGTCCGAGAGCGTGAATGAGAGAGGAGTTTGTAATGACCAGAGCATCAGAAGCAGCAGTGCACTTTGAAATTGCACAGAATCAATCGCCGTTCCCCCATGCGCGTATGTTACACTGTATTTCAAGAAATCGATTTGCTCCAAGAGAGCGAGAGCGATCAACCATGCGTGTATTCGCGTGGCCTGTTTCGCGCTCGAGTACTGTGTCGATTTACAGGCGCGCACGCGAAAAACGTCCAAGCTTTAGCATAATTCGAATAATTTTAGGTAAACGAAAACAGGAAATTTCATTGCACATTAATCAACAGGATTTATATTTATTACAAATTATTCATTATTACGATACAACTCGATGGGAGTCACTGTATAGAGTACTTTTACAACAATAAATTAAATTGAATTGAATAAACGAATAATGCATCGTAAAAAGCGACGCTACACTATGTTATACATAAATCAGTCGTAACATTTTTCAATTTCATTGTTTTATTTAAAAAATTTGACCTAATATACTTTGCGTGCTAGCTAATACTTAAAATATAGATTCGCGGTTTTATAAACGCTACATGTAGCGAAATTTTTTCTATAAATTCATTAACGACACGACATTCAAATAATGCTTTAAACAAAGTTATTTATCAATATCTCATGATTTTTCCTTCCAGCTTTTGATTAATGATGATAACAGTGTACATTTAAAATTAATTATTCTTAGATACAAATTTGCGAAGCATGTGACGTGATGTAAAAATGATTAAAATCATTAACTAATTCATATTCACGAGAAAATACTCTAAACCAAGCCCTTAACGTTCAACAGCGTCACAATATGCTTGATTTTTAGCCTGATCGCCATTACAATGATTATTTATCTACAAATCTTAGTTTCGAAGTAAAACTTAAGTTTTCCTTGGGAGATATAGTTTATTACTTTGTTTGCAATATCAAGGAGATTGTCCAGCTCATTGTTTGCATAATTGAAAAACTAGACGAACTTACAGTTATGTATGCGCAGCATCAAACTGTATAACGTCAATTTTTATAAATATTGTTACTTTTCACAGAATCAATATCGCATTTTGTTCATTTGTGTGTAATCATCTCGAGTCTCGGTATTAAAAAAAAAGTTGTATAGTTTTCAATTCAATAATAAATGAAAATTCATTACTTCTTCTTATTCTTATATTAAAACATTTCATGTCTATCTATTTTGATGTGGATGTAGAGAGGGCTCAGAAACATCACACAAATCATGGTTTAATCATGACAAAAAATTGTCAATAGATTACTGACAAGAATCAGAGTTTCACTTAAAATGTATACATGTAAATGAAAATAAAAAATTTAGTTATCTAAAAAAAACTCTTTTTTTCGCGAGCAATCGAGTACGTTTATTTGACGCGAATGATCCGAGCCTTCGTATGAGTGCATGAGTGTTAGAGTGGGTGTATGCGTGTGTACTCGGTAAAAGAGAGATTCAGTCGCGAAATTGACACTCGGCCATTATCCCAAGGATCCTATCGTCGTCTTCCTCGAACGAGAAAATTGCAATTCCCCAACGCTTCGGTAATAACTTTCCTTCTAAGAAAGAGACAGAGAGAAAAAAGCGTATGTGGGGGGCACGCAAGGCTTTAATTGAAAAGATTGAAACTAGTACGGAATCTCTGCTATAATTTTGGCATCGACGCAGTCGGAGGAAGGCTCGAGAGATCGTGCACCTCTTCGAACGACTTTTTCGCCGCGCTCTGAATTTCATCCATTGTGTGCATCGTCTTGGATGTTATGTCGTCGATTTGATGTCGCGTAGTTGTAATCAACTCATCAGCAGTTTTGGCCGCACTGTTGGCGAGATCTTGAACCTCTCGATCGATTTTCGAAATCACCCATTCGATTGCTTGTCTGCCCTGAAAAATACGTTTGAAATTTGTTATAAAATTTTCATTAAAAAATGTTTAAAGAAAAAATGAATTCTAAATTATAGATATGAATAGTAGTGTCAAATATGCTATACTTTTATAAACAAATTTTTTAATTCGTAAAAGTTATACACTTAAAATTTCTGGTTATTTTACTTTGCAAAATTAGTATGACTTTTTTTCAAGATTGAAAAAATTGATTTAATGGACTGCACGAAATGTGACGCAAATAGCTAGTCACGAATGTTGATATTACAAAAATATAAATGTTTACGGACAGTATAGCTCAGACAACATAGAAAATATGTACCACAACGTTTTTTTTCTTGCGATTTTTTCTGCTTTAAACTGCAATGCATCCAAATTAAGGATCATTAATGGTGGTATAGTGAATTCTATCAAAATCTATCCATATCAAGCTTCTTTGCAACATGAATTAGTTGGGCATTTTTGTGGAGGTTCCATAGTTCATAAACATTATGTTTTATCAGCTGCACATTGTTTTTATCCAAATCAAGAAGAGTAGGCAATTAAGTAAAATCAGCTACATCAATTGCAATTAATAATAAAAATTCGTCTAATATATTTTTCAGAGAATTATTAGATGCAAAAAAGATTGAAGTTGTGGTCGGATCTCGCAATTTGAAATATAACAGGGGTGTAAGACATGCCGTCGAAAAAATCTTAATCAATCCGTATTATCGTTTACACGTATGAATCATTTGTGAGACCTCAGACATATAATATAAAATTTATTGAGACGCGGAATTATTCTAGGACAATGTACCTTATTACGGAGATCTTGCATTGGTCAAACTGAAGAAAGAGATAACTTTCAGCGATAAAATTCAACCGATTAAATTAGCAAAAGCAAATCACGTAGTTGACGATGGACAAGTTTTAACTTTCACTGGTTGGGGATGGAAGAAGGTATGATGTGTTTAGTTGAGAACAGATAACAACTTGAAAGGATGGTTTTTGTAGGTCGATGCAGACGAACCAGAAGAATATTTGCATTTTGCAGAAATGAACGTTTATAACAACGATAAATGTAGAAAAGAATGGAAAGACTACGTTTATGAAAATGGGGAGGGAGATTCTAAATATGTCGTTATAGCCACGAAAGGAATGATATGTTTGCAAGGAGAAAGCAATTTTTGTGATGTAAAGAATGTGAAAAATATTTGTAATTTTTTTTTAAATCGTCATAATAAAAAGCTCATTTATTTTCTTAAAGGGTGATTCCGGAGGTCCACTCGTGGATGAACATAAAGTTCAAGTAGGGGTGTTGAGTTTTAATGATAAGTGTGGGTTCAATTCCGAGCTCCCGAGTGGGGCCACCGATTTAAGAATCTGGACGACGTGGTTATCTAAATATATACATTACGAGCCGTCGCCCAAACCTACACATCCAAAACCGAAACCCTCAGTGGGTTAATATTAATTGTGACTACAGATTTTTTGATTTTTATTGAAATTGGATTATTCGGAATAAATTAATATCTTAACTAACATTCATCTGTGTTTCTTCAAAAAATTATAAAAAAAATAAATTAAAAAACAACCAAGAACTTACTTTGCTTGCGTTGAAAGAAATTTTCGACGCCAAAAGATCTTCCATATAGTGAGTGAGCGGGACGCCGTGAACTTTGACGACTGCTTCTTGTGTTAGCAAAGTTTTTTTATCATCTTTCGGATGTGGCGTGTATCTGACTGTCTCATCCACTGTGATGTAATTGTAAAAGGTCAACTGTAACAATAAAAACGTAGAAATTAAATTATCAAATGTAAAAATACACTTTTCAGAATACTAAATCGGTTGAAATTATAAATAGCTTGATAAACTAATGCAACAGACAAATTTAACTCGTAGGATGAATCACCGATTAATTAATAATTACGACTAGTCTCGTTTTAAATATATAATTAAAATGTATACATTATGAAGTACGAAATCTGACGGATTAATTATGCAAGTGCCGCTATATACTCGCAATGTGTATTATAATTACACGCTTGCACCGTTGCAGGCGTGAAGTATATTATGTGCGCGAGTATGTTTCGTTTAGGATGTGCTTGGCACGATCGATTTCCTTTGGAAACGATACACACAACTCCTCTTTTGGAGATTCTTGTATACGTCTGAATTTCATCAAGTTTTCGGTAGAAATGAGGGCAACGAAAAATTGTAAGCAAAATTAAAAACGGCATTTTTCTGAATAGTGTAAAAAAATTTCAAATGAAATGTACACTTTTTTATTTACATTTTAACGAGAATTTTAATTTAACTGCTGCTGGCAGCGATGTAAGCCACGTCGAAGCGCGTAAAGAAAAGTTCTCCAGGTCGATGTAATTACATTTGCAAATATGATGCAGCGCAGCTTCTAAGTTGTTACCATTTAAATATACACATCAATATGATAGAGGCACTTTCACGCTGGTAAATTCGCCGCTCGAACATTACAAACTCGAAAACTGCGCAGACAGCAGCAGGAAAAAAAGGAGCAATGTAGAAGGGTGAATTTCCAGTGTATTATGCATTGCAGTAGCTTGTGAATATAACTGCAGCGCTCCGAGTACAATTGAATCCGCAGTGCGAAATTAATGCCTGCGGCTGCAGTTCATTTATTGGCAATCAAGTCGCTGGGCTGGTGTATACGCGCACAACGGCGACGACGACGACGACGACGACAACGACGACGATGTATGCAGACTTTGCGCGGCTTTTTACCCGGCTCTCTCACTTCCATTCCCTAAATGTGCAGCAAGCCAGCGAAAAGCACTAATTGCTACTACGGGCCGGACGCGCGCGCATGTAAGCCCTTTGTCGCGCTTCGTGTGACGCGCTGAGTCAATGGAAAATTGTTTTGCAGCAGAGTACCGTAAGATCGAAAAACGTCAATGCTTTTGACGATAAGATTTTTTTACACGGGCGAGTTAAAATTAAGCGACTTTTTGGTCGCTTAGAAGATGTCGCACGAGCAAATGGAGGTGAAAGAAAAAATTAAAGTTTTTTCAGGATGCGCACTTCGTTATCGCAATCATTATTCACCAAGAGAAAAAAAAATGAAAGAGATGTAAAAGAGAGTTTTACTGATTAAAACCGCGCCCGTTTCTTCTGTCCCTCCTTCTCCAAAAGCTAGACAGCCTAACACATAATTCAAGGCTCCATTAAGCGTTATTATTCATAATTACTTTGCGGCATAGGACCGCATTGTTGTAATTTTCGTCTTTCTCATAAATTTGCTTGCTGCCGCATGCGATATAGGCGCGAAAGGTTTCGCATTCAATTAAAACATAGTTGCACTGGCCGTAAAAGCGCGCGAGCATCTCTCTTTTAGTGAAAACTTTTTATCGAAAAGTTGCATGATTTTTGTGTCCTGGCAATAATAACTCTTACGGCCCACCTCTCTCGTTCTCTCTCTCCTTCTTACGCAGAGATAGATGAGAATATTACACTTTTGCCATGTAAAATGACTACTAGCTCTTCTTTTGCGGCGCACACACAAGGCCAAACTAATTTAAACTTTAATTTTCATCTCGTTTGTCATCCAATGTTCCGCGCGAGTTTTCCTAGCCTCCACAGAACACGAGCAGCTACTAGTACGAGGGACTGAAAAATTCATGTAAGAAAGAGAGAGAGAGAGAGAGAGGGTAGAGCAAAACTTTGAGTCTTAATTGGCGCATTAGCTTGTCCCATTGTCACTCCTTTCTTTTCTGAAGCGTTACTATGAAGCGCTGCAGCATGGGAAAGAGCTTCGGAATAAGGTACAGAAAAAAAATTGTTATGTTCTCGCAAAAAAATCATACTTTTCTCTCGTACTTTTTTTATGTTTACCCTAGCGTCCATTCTTTTTCTCCTTTTTGTCGAAAACATTGAAAAAAAGCCGTAGAAGATGTTAAATGTAGTCCTGGGACCTAAAGCAAAGTTGACGTTTTGAGCTTGAAGATAAGTGCGGATAAAAGAAACTTGGTTGCTGTTGTCTGGGCATGCACACACCTTGCATAACTAATTTAACTCGCAGTTTGTGTTTTTCATCTCACGCAGCAACAAAAATAACGAGTTGCAAAAAAAGCTCGTCGGCTCACTTAAAAAAACACGGCGCACTCGTAATATCATTAATTCTAATCAAAACGCGGGCAAATTAGAAATGTAGGTTAATTGAAAAATACTGAGCGCGCGCGTACGTGAGCCTCGGTGGCTGTTTACCGAACTCTCGAGACTCGAAGGGGGACCGAATCGATCAGTCATCGACGCTTAGAGAGGATCTCGTTTGCTTTACTGTTAACCACACATAAACATATGACCGTACACGCATCCTCTGCAAATATGATATTCACTTGTATCGAGCTTGCATCGGAGCTTGCAGTGTCTAAATCAAACTAACTTCTCGGATGCGCGCGCGTGTGTGCTTTTAATTACCGCCTGCCGCTCTTGAGTATATATATAACCGGAGAATCGATTAATAAGTACACAGACCTGCCTGGGCTGGATGACAATTTTAGAGAACGAATTATGTATGGAAAAGTAGACGATGGTCTACTATATTTTTCAACATCACAATAGACGACTGCATGGATGAATAATAAAAATAAATAATGAACAAGCTTAGGAAATAACGCCTGAATTATCACCGTCTTTTTTTGCATCAAGTATGGGAATTGATACTAGTCCGACAATATATTCGACGATTGTGCTTGTGGTATCGGATGTACGCTTGAGAGACGAGTTTTCGATCAAGTAATTAGCATGGATAACGTCTGAAGCTAGACGAGACATAATTGAGGTCTTTCTCTTACTTGAAGCGTCCGCACTTTAAACCACACAACCACACACCCATATACTCTTACACACATACACACACAATCATACACCAGTCGATCTAATATCAAGCGCAGAACTATGTACGTCTAGGACGATTACGCTTAGGATGCCATGCGTGCACGCGGCTAAAACTTTAATGGGATGCTTGAAATTTTCAGCGTTTGGTTAGGGAGTGCCGACACAGACGCCCGGATAGTTATTCACGATTAGGCTATGTGTAAAGATGGGTGTGAGAAAGAGAGAGAGAGGGAGAGGAACGGAGAAGGACATTTGCATGTGACGAGTGCTCCAAAGTATTTCGAGGACTCAGTTGGGAAATTGAGTTGAATCACCGCGCGCAGCTTTGAATTGACACACGCGTGGGCGTACCATTGTTATCCGAGAATAATATATCGTTCGGGATTATTTGCGTTTTGGTGGAACGGGGGAAATTTTTTTCTTCTCTCACGATCCTTTATTTTGGTGCGTTGGTATGTATATAAGTGCACGCGCACACACCCACTTGTGATTGGATAGAAAAGCCGGGGGAGCAGGAAAAATCAAAAGGAGATGGAAGAGCGATCGACAGGAAATTTCATCATCGTCGGCTCACGTGCTCGTCTCCGCAAGTTCTCGTGTCTGGGACATCGGTTGGCTCTATACGCTCTGTCTTATACGTATATCATTTTTCATCTCTCCAAGAGACTGGCACGCTTTATTTCGATCGATTTCAAATAATTCTGTCTATGTCGCGAGAGAATTTTGTTTTTCAAACGATGACTCAAACGTACCTGCGTAAAAGTTTATAATTTTTCATACACAAAAAGTACACACGCCGCTACGAGAAATGGAGGGTAATCGGGTAGATGGATCAATTTTTATCGCGAGGTTGAAGAAATCGCTTTTCCCTCTTCCCTTTCTCGCCCATTGGCTCAAAAGATTTTGCGAATGGTACGGCGCGCGACAATTTTTTCATTTGCAAAGTAGAAGAAGCGACTCCAGTCTTGCTCGAGGCTGTGCAGTTTATCATACACGCGACTGATACAAAGACGAGCCCAGCCACCAGATGCATGATGTATCTCCAGCACCGAAACGCATTTTAAATTGAAAAATGATGGCGAATGCTTATACGTGTGCGTTTGCTCGGAGAGGCAGGGGTTGTTGCGAGGTAGCTATGGGCTATGTGCGGCTGTAACACACGTATAAAAATACACATGCTCACTGAAAAATGCCTTTTCGCGTGACACGATGTATCGGACGTTAGAGTCCATTTAGCTTTTCTCTCGTGCGGCAGCGGTGGCGGCAGCGACTCCCTCTCTCTCTCCATCTCTCTTTCGCATCACCTGCACTGCTCGTTCATCATCGCCGATACACTTCCCTAAAGGCTAATGCACTTTTCTGCACGCGAATCTGTCTCTTTTTCCTCGACTATTCGCTTACGTATATTTCCAAAGAATGGCTTTGCCGCGTGCAGTAATGCGAAAACATCAATAATCGATGTAAGTTTTTTTACTTTTAATTCAAAATTCATCACTCTAAAACGCGAGAGCAAGTTGTATTTTTCTGCTCCTACATGAATACATATAGAAGTGTAACAATTGCCTAGTTTTTAAACGATGCTTGAAATGAGAAATTATCTATATTTATCGGAAACTCGAAGCGATAAAAAGTTGTCTTCTTTTTTCTCTCTCTTTATTGTAAAATTAAGTATGAGATAGGAAAATGAGTAGGTGAATATTGATTCAGACACACATAATATATAGCATATACCACTCTTATAGGATAGTATTCTCACGAATAAAGCAATGACGGATGAAATCAAGCAATACTCAATTGTTGCAGCTGCTTAATCAGATTTTCTTCAAAAATTATGAGAAAATGATAGCCTAGACGGATAATTATTCAGATATGTATAGGCATGATATCTTCTGATTATCTTTTGTTCCACAGTTGAAAGGAAACATACGTTAATTACAGAAAGACATACGGAAAATACACTCGGCAACAAAATTATCGCAACAAAAAAATTCATCGAAATTTTGTCGATTTTCAAATGCTTCTATCTTGGGCTAGATTTATCGTATCGACACGCTTTTTTTTTTAATTTCTTGGAAATTTTGTCCTCTTTAAATCCATATAAATTAAGATAAGATTTGAGTTAATGTTGAGTTACCAGTAGTATTTGAGCGTGACCCTAAAAATTACTGAAAAAAAATGACTGTTTGAACGTGTACCAGTACCACAGTGATTTTTTTATCGAAATCTAACATACACCATCGCAAAGTGCTCTTTTCAACGAGTAATTTAAAAAAAAAAAGACCTCTCTACGATTTTTTTAACGCCCTGTAGGTCGATTTGAAGATACCATTTAAAGTACGTAAAATCCCCCGTTTACCTGAAATCAAGACGATTTTCTGGTCATTTTGCGTACATAAACCGTACCTTCAAATCGACCTACAGGGCGTTAAAAAAATCGTAGAGAGGTCTTTTTTTTTTTAAATTACTCGTTGAAAAGAGCACTTTGCGATGGTGTATGTTAGATTTCGATAAAAAAATCACTGTGGTACTGGTACACGTTCAAACAGTCATTTTTTTTCAGTAATTTTTAGGGTCACGCTCAAATACTACTGGTAACTCAACATTAACTCAAATCTTATCTTAATTTATATGGATTTAAAGAGGACAAAATTTCCAAGAAATTAAAAAAAAAAGCGTGTCGATACGATAAATCTAGCCCAAGATAGAAGCATTTGAAAATCGACAAAATTTCGATGAATTTTTTTGTTGCGATAATTTTGTTGCCGAGTGTAGATACGAAGATAATAACGAGATAATTGTGACATGCCGAGCTAGGCATATTTCGCGCTCATCGTTTTCATTAATGAATACTTCATAAAATATTCTGTACTAATAAAAAAAGTATACGCTTCAATCAATCATTGCGTGTCTGGGCTTTCGTTTACACTCCAATCTACGCGAAAATAGAAATTTTTAAGAACGCACAATTTTTTCACGATGCATTCATGAAGTTGAAGATTCATATTTTTCATTTCTTCCTTTTTTTATCGAATCATTGAAACGACGGGTTTACACTTGAAAGGGGACGAAAAAAAAAAAATAACACAAGGTGCCCTCCCAGCGGAGTGCGGAGAAAGGTAGAGATCTCGGAATAAATCCTACGATCCGGAAGGAATATACGTGTGCGAAATACGAAACACACAGTGGCGTCTTTCGCTACTGATTTTTCCCGAGAGTCGAAAATCCGAATGTGCGGTTTTTTTTCATTTCATTCTATTTTATTTTGCCTCGGTAAGAGAGGGTAAGTACACGCAAGAGTAAGTTTTCAGATTTTCTCCTCGTCGATGTGTGAAACATTACGCCGCGGGAATATAACGAAGCATTCGATGCGCGATCGATGCCGGTTAGAAAAGTCGAAAGATGAGCCTTGTAAACGCATCTAAGAACTCGCACGCGTATATAAATAGGAAAGGAGTAGCTACTCACAAGTTTATACTGTATTATATACGTCATAAAAAAATCTCATTTCAAAACGGATTTGCCCGTGAAAACATATATACTTGCCAAAAGTGTATATATAGTTATTCGCCTTTGCTCGTCGCTTATACGACTTTTCCTTTTTTTTTTCTTTCTAAACTTAAGATTTCTAGGATATGACCCTTTCCCCTTTTACTCGCTCTCTCTTTCTCGCACGCTATTTACCTCTTCAAAAGAGTCCATGTATGTATGTATAACACAGGTTCAAAGCTCCTATGAAATACCTCCATACATGTGTATGAAGTCATCACGTGCGAGATGCTCCTCGTATGAAAGAAGAGCGTGAGAGAGAAATTTTTCCTATATCACGCGCGGGCGCAGGGGGTGGCAGTAAAAATTTTATGAACCGTTTGGAAGTATATCCGTTTTTTTTTTATTTTTAAATCAGAGGGATTTATCCATACGGTCTGCAGCTAAGATCATGAAGAAATGAGATAATTTTCTAGTTGAAAAATTTTTCATTTCTTTCGCGTAGGCTGGTTGCCCGAGCAAGACCAAAATCGATATATCGCAGCGGCAACGGCAGAAGCAGAGCGGCAAGCGACGGGACGCAGAGTGCAGTGAAGCACGAATTAGGATGAGACAGATTCGGCTTGTTGTGTCCATATAGAGAGATACACATGCATAACATATAGCCCGGATCAAGCTTGTCTATCCGTTCATCTGAGCCGCTGCGCGCTAGCTGGCATAGGTGTGTGTAGGGGGCTGCATGTGTGCACGGACGGACGGACGGACGGACGGACGGACGAGCGGCGGTGGCGGCGGCGACGATGTCAGTGGCGAGTGTCACCAGAGATACAATATCAATCTTGAATCGCGTCTACGCGCGCCGCACGGGGCGAAGCGCACTACATATATATAATATAAGCGCAGCCGTGTAACGAGTAAAAAATCAACGACACAAAGCGCGTATCTCTCTTGGCGTTTCAATTGACGTTTAATCTAATTCACTCGGACGTTGTTGAATCCTCCGGCGCGCGCGCGTATATATAATATTTCGCGCTGACAATGAGTTTTTGTGTTATACGCTGATGGAAATTGAGACACATGTATACACGGCGCATATACTCGTATCAGCTAGAGCGAGCGAGAGAGAGATTGAACTTTCAAATGAGATTATCTTCGGGGATGCGAAGAGCGACGGTGGCGCGCGCTCCACGCGAGCTTGTGAATATTCATTGTATAAGCCGCAATGGTGTGCTCTGCTCCGCTCGGAGCTACTCTGCGCTCTGCTGTTGGTTTATCTCTCTTTTGCCTTGTTATATGCGCGCGCGCGGCAAATTCTCTGTTTGAACAACAATGCGCTCCTCGCCTCGCCTATCCTTTCTCTCCCTCTCGCTTCATATCTGCGGGGGGAGGCAATGATTATTTTTTATGCCCTCTTGCGCTTTTTTTTTGTCTAGCGCGCGCAGACTTGATTGAGTAAACAGAAATCGGGCGAAGGTATATGTACGCGCGGGTAAACAACAAAGCGACCCGAGCGAGAGTCGCTCTCGAAAATCATTCGCGCGTCCCCCGCTCGACGCTGCCGCAACGCCTCAATTATTCAAAGTTCTAACTTTCTCATTTTCCGGCGGTAAAGAGAAGCGCTAATCATCCTGTACTTACGTTTCTCGTTTTCAGAACCATTTGTCGGTGTGCTGGATCGACCTCGCTCGTTTCGCTGGCGTAGCAGATATTCGCGTCGCCTATCAGCTGTAACACACAGAAACAATCCGTCGATTAATCAATGCAATAAATAAAGCCAAGCAATTGCTTTAAGACGAGATGCTGCGGCGCATGCTATGTATATAATATATAAGTTCAAATTGATATGGCAATTAGCGAAGTGCAATTATAAGACACTAAAAACCCAAGCAATCAGAATACCATTAGATCACAAAGTGTGAGGGTAAGAGAGAAAGTGAGAGGGCAAAGTTGCTCATTAGTGATTTTCACATTGTAGACTTTCCTTATCGTGCTGGCCTATAGTTCCGCCAAGCACCCTTAAGAGCCAATAAATTGCAACTTTTTCTTCCTACATATTATGAAAACATTAAAATTTCTACATGTTTCGTTGAAAATTCTTTTCATACAAGTTTGAAAAAAAGAAAAAGAAAATTGATACAATATCTACAAATGTCTTGAATGAAAAAAAAATCTTTTTCATCCACACCGGTAGTATAGTACAAACTCGAGGAAAGAGTCGAAGCTCTTGGCAACGTTTCTGGATGTGCGCCAAAACCGTCGCCGCTCGCACACGCATATATAGACGCTCAACGACGTTTATTATGAAAGTTGATACAAGTTACGTTATATGATGTTTTGTCATTCCCACAGCACAAGTGTCTCTCAAATTTCTTGTTCGCTATATGTTTTTTCAGCTAGCGACGCCGAGAAGATGGGAAAGTGAGATTAGAGCGAGAATAGGAGGGAACACCGAATTTGCGCGTGGGCAAAATGATGCGAGCTTGCATTTGAATAGAATCAAATCTGCGCGAATGCTTCCGTGCGCGCGCACCGATGGAAGCTTAGAAAAAGCTCCCGCCGGAGCAAACTCCGGAAAGTGTAAGTAGAATTTGAAGCAGGATTCAAACGAACGAGCCTTTAAAGAGATGAACTTTTGTCCCGAGAATTTTCCATTGAAATTAATGCTGAGGTTGCCTTTTAAATGTCGTTTTAAACACAGCTAAATTGACGCTAGCGTGTACGCGCAAACTCGCAAGTGGGTATATGCATTACACAGATACATATAGATCATTCAATCAGACAATGACTGCAACTGTCATTGTACTGGCACGTGTCATGGCAATCAACTTTCACGTGTTCAATATAACATCGGTATCGTACCGGCAAATTTTCTCATATACAAATTCGACCTTGATGTATAGAGCTAAAGGTTGGGTGAAAGCAATTCGCAGTGACGTTTCGTCTTTAATATGTATCAAGAATACTTATGAAAAGATAAGTTGTGCAATACACATTTTTGTGTCTGTATTGAGATAACTTCAAATATATTGAAATACATCATGGACAGATATGTTATAGCCAATAGTTATACAAATTAGACGAATAGAGACTCGTTAAGAAATTCTCAACAATTACATAACAATGATGGTAGTTTTTATCTAAATTAAGTAAATGATGATAAGAAAAGTATAAATTACATAATCTTCTTTACGATGGCTTATCTAAGACTTGTACACATTATGAGCGTAAATTCAATTTGACAATCTCCTGTTATTATAGGTATTTTGAAATGCTCTATTTTTGGTCAAAGTGTTCTGGCCTCTTTTTTCACTCGATCAAACTTGTTTGGTTTTAAAATTGTAAGTCGCAATGGAAATCATTAATTAAGAGTTTATTTAATTAGAATCAGTTAAAATGAATGAAAATATGTGACAAATGTACAACTTGTGTCAGATGAAGCTTTGAGAAAGATAAGGATAATTTTTATAATGCTATGAAATCAGCAAACTGTATTCGTAACTGGTTTTACATTAAAATTAATAAAAAGTTCATTTTAATTCTGCTACAAATTAATTCACTCAAATCGTATTTCTTAAAAGATACTTACTGGTTTGGTCCATCTTGGAAAACCCCATTGACTGGAAACTAGCCTAAGTGATTTTAATTTGCCATCGACAACTTTTCTGTCAATAACGTCAGTACCTAGTACTGATGGCGTTATAGGATTAGGGTACTTTTGCCATGCTGCTGCCACTACAGTTTCCCAGGGATGACTGTAAACAATAAAATTTGTTTAGAATTTTTATTAAAAATTGATGTTCTGTTCACACATGTCACATGTTCCAACAATGTTTCTTTACACAAAAATTAACTAAAATTTCTCACAAGGGCAAATCAATTTAAAAAAATATATACACTTTGAGAATATCACTGTCGTGCTTTTTAGTACTAGTACTCACTTAAAAATGTGCTCGGACATCCAGACTTTCATCTTGACAAATTTATTTCCTTACTGATGAACTGTCAATAACCAATTAAACGATTTCGAAAACTTGAGATGAAATTCTTAAGTCTGCTTGTTAAAATGTAGAGGTTAACCACACATTCTAGTGTGGTATGCTCATTGGAAGACTGACGACAGAGGAAAAGACCCGTCACAATGTGAATAGCAGTCGAGTCTGGTATTTTCTGCAACATCAATATATGCAATAATATCCCACTCACGATGACGATGACATCAATGATGAGTAACTCCCACTCGACATGAACGAAAATCACATTAACATTTATACGTCTGCTTAGGATATAACGCAAATCTACATTAAATAGCAATGTCTCATGACGGTCCGTCAAAAATCTTGTCACAAAACAGAAGAAATTTCTTATACTTTAGTATTAGTGAATCAGTGCGACGGCGCAGCGAGCGAAAATTCAAATCACACTCGATTTTTTTTTTTTTTTAACTAATTAACGATTTTTGAAAAATCGTTTGCTACGAGTTAATTTAATTATTATTATTTTATACAAAGAGAAAATTCAATTAGAAAATAAATTTTTATTTAAAAAATGTCTTCAAGTACTAAAATAAGTTTCAACAATTTTTAGTGATACATACATGATAAATATTCAATCAGTATTAAACAAAAAAATCAACATCCTCAAGGCCTTGAGGTAAATGGTTTTTATTCAGATTTTCAAGAGTTTTTATTTCTTGATAACCCTTACCTATATTAAAAAAATATACACATTAATTTATTATATTTATCTAAATCTCATTTCTAACATTAAATATTTATTGATACTATAAATATGCATATTTCTTACCAAGCACAGATCTTAGTTTTCCTTGGCCTGATGTATCTTTTATAAATAGTGGAACCTTAGGCTGCGGTCCTACATGGTTTTCAATTTTATTTTGACATTTGAAAAATGCCCCTTCTATTTTCTCAGACTTTTTTGCTCTTGTTAAATAAACCACACACTGTGCTAAAATTACATCGCTTTCGGGTAAACCAATCAATTGACAAGCTCTAACAGTATTTAAAGACATACCTATGAATATTCAAAAAAAAAGAAATATGTTTTTTATTTAAATATTTGTTATGAGTTAAATATAAAAGAAATTTATTAAATTTACTCAAAGCCTCTTCATCACAAAGACCAATATCCTCTCCTGCTATTCTCACTAAACGTCTGGCAATATTAACTGGATCTTCACCGTCTTGAATTAATCTTGCTAACCAGTATAAAGCTGGCATCTCTTGATTATCTTTAATACTGTGGTGTAATGCATTATGTAAATAATTCATTTGATCTGTTTGTTTACCATTAAAGTTTTGAATTTTCTCTAGACTTTTTTTTATGTCATTAGAATTTATTGTAATTGGTTTTGCATTAACTTCAACATTTTTAGGAACTTTAAGAGATACTGTGGTATCCAAACCTCCAAGGGCAACTCTTGCGTCTCCATCGCATACTTCTGACAACCAATCAAGAATATCTTTATGAATTAAAAATCTGATTGTGCCAAACTGCTCATATTTATTTTTTTTCAATATTACTTTGCCACCTAGTTTTTCAACTGCCTTTGACAATAAGGGAAGTAAATCATTTTTTGTCAATTTGTTAAGGACAAAAACTCTGCATCTACTCAACAGTGCTGAATTTAAATTAGAAGATGGATTTTCTGTAGTGGCACCAATAAGTATAAACGTTCCTTCTTCTACATGAGGCAAAAACACATCTTGTTGCAGTTTATTGAATCTATGAATCTCATCCATGAAAACCACAGTTTTTCCACCTTTTTTTAGATAAGATTCAGCATCTAATATTATTTTTTTTACATCATTGATACCTGCCGTAGTGGCAGCAAACTTGATAAATTTTACTGGATACTTAGAAAATGTCTTGCTTTGTTTCATTATGACATTTACCAAAGAAGTCTGTAAAGTTATTCAAATTTAAAATGGAAAATATTTTTAAATAGATTACACTATCAATTTACCTTTCCACAACCTGGAGGTCCCCATAAAATCATGTTTGGAATTTCTTCATTTTTTAATAAATTACAAAGTAAAGTATTAGGGCCTATTAAATGAGATTGACCGACATAGTCATCCAATTCATTTGGTCTCATTCGCTCTGCTAAAGGGGCATGACTATTTTTCATTTGACTTTTAGCTGAAAAATTTTCATGGCTTGAATATTCATTGCCCAATGACATTTTACTTTATTATCTTGAGTATCTGAAAATTAAAATCATTTATTGTTGCAAACTTTGTGTACTGAAAAGTTCACGTTCATCATTTTTACTATATCAACTTTTGATACAAAAAAAAAAAACTGACATTTTCAAAATAGCAGATAAACAGATAAAAATGATAAAAAAGTAGCGGTGTAATCGTTTATCTTCGAAAATATTGTATTTGATGATCTTATGATAACATATCTATGTGGTACCCCCAATCCACATAACCGTCAAACTCATGAGTACATACACGCAAAATACAAAACAATGTTCAGCAGTCAGCAGTTAGCAGTCAGCACTCAGCAGCCGCGACTCGCGAGCCGGTGACTGATATTGGAACGCTGCAGTCTGCAAGAAAGCAGAACGAAAATATTGCCTCGACAGTATCAAATTTGTTGTCATAACATTTCGAACGCCTACTTATAGGAAGTCAATTTAAAAATAACTTGTACTTTTTTTCTTAGCTCCAACCAATTGATATTTTGGAATTATCATTCAGTTACTGTTTATAGTTATTTCGTGCTACCTAACCACAGTGTCAAGTGCATAAGAATAAAAATTGAAATAAAAATTAAAAATATGGCAGAAGTTGACTATCATACTTATAGAAAATACATGGAAGATTCTGTATCAAATCATAACGGCAGTTCAGCTGGAGATGTTCTTTTTACTATTTTACCCAGTATATGCAGTATTTTATTAACTTTGACATTCATCACTCTATTTGGAAAACAATTAAGTTTTCAAGCTAGAATAGTTGTTGAATTTTGTGTCACAATAGTTCCATGTGTTTTATGTTGTACTGTTTTACATGATAAAGCTATGGCCATATCACAGATATTCCTTATTCTTTCAGCAGCCAATATTATATCTATATTAGCTAAGAAACCAAAGTACTCATACAATGCAGCGAATAGTATTCCAACATCTAATGAATCTAAATCTGGCAAATCTGATAAGATATCTTTTATCACCAATTTTAGAGCATTAGTAATGGTCATGACATCAATATGTATTTTGGCTGTTGACTTTTCTTGTTTCCCAACAGAATTCATGAAAACAGAAACTTATGGATACAGTTTAATGGATGCTGGAGTTGGATTATTTATAGTTGCCAATGCGTTGACCTCTCCAGAAGCTAGAAATATACAGTATTCTTTATCACAAGGAGTACCAAAATATTTAAAAGATTGTGTACCATTGTTAGGTTTAGGTGCAGCTAGATTTTTTGCTGTTGAATTTTTGGGATATCAAAAACATGTGAGCGAATATGGAGTGCACTGGAATTTTTTCTTAACTTTAGCATGTGTTAGACTTTTCACTGGAATTTTGGCCCATAATTTAATTTACAAATATTCATTGTTAACTGGCTTGTGGATTCTTGGAATGCATGAGTATGCTTTGAGTACCCAAGGGCTCAAAGAATGGGTAATGAGTGATGAACCAAGAGACAACTTTCTTTCTGCTAATAGAGAAGGATGGGTATCTATCCCTGGCTATGTTGGCTTGTACCTAATTGGAATTGCCTTGGGAAGAATGATCCATACATCATTTCAATATTCAGAGAATCAATTGATTTTTAATATCAAATTTCGGGGCTATGATTTTCACATTGGTTATACAAAATCAATGTCTCTATCTCTAAAACTCTACATTGTAGCTAATTTTGCATTTATAGCTACGTACTACTGTGAAAAATACTTTCAAGTATCAAGAAGATTAGCTAATTCTGGATACTGTGCTTGGGTACTTACTTTAAGTACATTAATACTTACATTTTTATTAATGATAGAAGTTTTGCTTGAATGTATTAGTGGCTGTGTAAAAGATAAGGCCAAAAAAAGGGTAATAAAGCAATTAAAACGAGATGATTTGAATGTCAAGGAAGACTGCCACACAATCAAGACTTTAGCAATTTTTGAAGCTGTTAATTATAATGGTTTATTATTTTTCTTATTCGTTAATCTTATGACTGGTATGATTAATTTAAGTATAAAAACTAGGTATGTAACAGATCCCCAGGCTGTGAGCATAATTCTGACTTATATGGTCGTTAATATAACATTTGTAATGTTGCGTTATAAAACAAAAAAAGTTTTAACCGATAGGCCAGACTTACCAAAAAAAATAGTAGAATAGACTTTGTTTTACAGTTATATAATCTTCAATATTTTAAACTTAAATATTTAAATACTTTTAATGTAGTAATTAATATATATACTAGTCTGTTTGTATAAAATTTGTATATTTATAAAAAAAATATATATAACAATGAGTATTAAATTAATCAGTGCTATCACTCATTCAAACTGTACCTATAACTATTACTTAACAAACAAAGTATTTTGAAGTCTTGGAAAAATTATCATTAATATTTTCATACATTTGATTAGTATTTATCAGTCTACACTGGAATGACAAAGCACGTAAAAATTGAATAGAGTTTTTTTTCCTGGATCTACAAATCCCTTTATATATTTATTTACGTGCTTCGCCAGTGACTAAAACTAATGTGGAGACACGGCGGTTATTTTCGGTTAATTTATCCTGTTATCATTATTTTTAATTTATTTTTCTAGGTCTCATTGAAAATATTTTTCATATTGCAATACTTGCGAAATTTCTGATTAAAATCGATGCATTTACAAAACAAATTTATTTTTGAAAATAATTACCGCCCGCCTCCGTTCACAAACGTCATAATTCTTCTTTAACTATATTCCCGCTGCTTTCTTGAGTTTTAATTTGATTAAAATGTTGACCTTTCATGAAGTTGTTGAAAGACTCACTATTTCTCACGTGTTTTTCAGCTTCGTGCACAAGCCTTACGAATTCGTCAACATTAAATTTGTAATTGATGAACTTAGCATGAGCACCACCATGTGGATAAGTTCCCTAGAAAAAAATATATACATTTCATCAAACTACATTTGTAAAAGCGTGATGCATATTTTTTTAAGAGTTCTTTGTTACCGGATCGACCTCCGTAAGTTTACTCTTGTCTTGCCATGTAATGTACTTTATTCCTTTTAATCTTGCCAAATCTTTGTAGCAGCTTGCATCTTCGCAATTGTACCTGTACACATGAATTTTATATAACAAAATTGTTTTATTTTTTAATACTAATGCAAGAACCAGTTACTACACTTGAACTTACAACTCAAACCCAGCAGCCCATTCAGGTAAGAATAGAAAATGTGTCAAACCGGCTCCATGCATTCCAATAAATATATCCGAGTTTCGTGTGATTTCAAGTTGCTTTTTGAACGGTATATTTTTGTTGTAAACCACCTGCAAAGAAATAAAACTGTCATAAGCAATAAAAATGTTTAACTATCGTAGACTCGAAATAACATATACCCTTTGAACATCGTATTCAGGTTTAGCCTTTAGGGCTTCCACCAAGGCATCTTCATTTAAAATATTTCTATACTGAGTTTCTCTACTAAGCAAAGTCACTCGAATTTTAGTATTATTTCTTTCATGAAGTGGTATTTGAAGTCGATGAAGTATGAAATCTGAGAAGGCTGCGAATAGCCCGCTATTTTCACAGCCATAAATCTGTGCCCATTAAAGTGAATTTAATTTTATATATATTTCATTAAATTAAAAGTTCAGGCCATATATTGTATGTTACCAATGGTGTATTATAAAACAATCCAAATATCATGCGAGGTAGCAGAGGGAAAACCACATTCTTGAAACAAACTGTTTCTCCTTTGAAAGTTCTTAAATCCCAAAGTGGATTATTCGTAAACGCCTGAAAGGTGTCTTGAAATGACGATCGGTAACTAAAAACAATAATTTCTTTCATGTAATTCTAGTTGACTTTTAGCGCCGTAACTATTGCACAACTTTCTTACTTGAAGCTTTCCCAGATCAAGATGTTATTATCTGTATTAAATGCATTTGGATGTGAAAGATTGACATGTAACGACGCGTAGAGATTAAAAAAATCACAAAAATGATGGTACATATTTACGGCTGCAAAGTCAGTATATTATCAAAATATTGTTTTAATTAAATTCTCGTTTAGTACATTAATTTGGTTCATTTGTAAATAAAATTACCTGCATCAATTTTGAGTATGTATGTGGGTTTCTCAATAACAACGTCGCAATCGCCTGATGGGATTGGTTTCCGAGACAACTTTCGAAAATTTCTCAGTTCCGGTCCCCAAGATTGCAGAGGGCTTATGTGATCTGCGTTAGCGTTCAGTTTATCTTTATCTAGTCTGTAAAAAAGTAGAAGATTGTGAATAAATATTTTAATAAACAGTAGTTTACTTTTATACGTACGTGCAGTATCCCCCAATTTCACCTTCTTTGAGAACATCCATTTTATACCGCAGAGGTTCACTTCTATTTTTTAAACTTGTAAAGTTGAGCATGATATTTCGTCCTCGGCAAAATCGCATGTGCTCGGAACATTCCAAAGATGAATCGTCCTGGATATTTCATTTCATAAATATAATTTTTTCAGCAATGAATTTAAAGCAAATAATTACTTACGATAAACAAAGGTTCGCACAGCATCGTCATTTCTTTACGTTGTTGACGAATGTATCCGAAATCTCCTTGAGCGTAAAAAGTGTTTAGTTGCGCATTCTTGGAGCTGACCCATCCTTTATGATCACCTGGACAACGAGCCTTAGAAAACGCGTTATCAGCATCGCAACCTAGCTCATAGCCCCAACATGCATTTTGATCCAAGTGCGACTAAAATGAATAAATTTCGTCGAGCCAATTCGAAAAAATGTCGTTAATTTGAAACTAAACTAATTTTAATTTTAATAAATGTAATTATTTTTAAACGCAAATTTTTTACCTTAAAAGGACACTCTGGATCACTTAAGCACTCCTTTTCCAACGCCGGAAACGAATTGAAATAATACTTGAGATGATTTTTCGGCAAATTGATTGTTGAAAAATTGAACGCTATCGCAAAGTCAGCAAATATATCAAGCATCAGAAGGAAAAAAATGTCCCAAATTTTCTTGGTAAACATCGTGACACCTATTGCTAGAACATCGTAAAAACGTCTGATCAAAACTTTTTGCTCGTTCGAAAGTTAATCGGCGAAGCGCCGTACATATATGAGTGGGCCACCTGCGCATTGGTAGGAGGTGCATGACCTTTGCTGCTTGGATACAACAAATGTGTATGAACACACACCAGACGCCTACAATCATTCGCACTCTTCAAGTTTCGCCGTGAATCATCAATTACAAAATAAAAGATTTATTGGCGTATAGGAATGAAACGCCACATTTTTTCCAACAATTGAAAATGGGATACTCTTGACAATCGTAGAATTGATAAATACTACGAATAGATGCACGTGTTTACAAAGTCAACTGCCGATAATGCAGAGCTTTTGTTCATGCAATTATAAGGGTATTTAAAATGAGTAAAACAAAGATACGTACATACAAATTGATAGAATTAGTCGGTCTTCGAAAATGTTGGGGCTCCTCTCCATGTAGAGGCACTACATCGTTGGCAAGGATACTTGAGAAGCATTTGATCGCAAGGACGATGCAGGCAAAACGAATAACTGTTCAAGCCGAGTGTTTAACTGCAGAACTTGGTGTAAAAATGCATCGTCAACATGGCCGCACCGCGAGGGAACGATAACTTCTCCATCTGTTGCGGTAAAGTTGTGATTTGACAATGGACGTCGGGAAGGTAGGTATCTGAAATCCCGCGGTACTTTGCCTATTATCGATAACGGAATCGCATATCGTTTTCCAATCACGAGAAAAAATACATTACGAGCTGATTGTGAAATCTCATAAACCATTGAGATTACGAAATTTAAACGTATGAGCAACTTCAGCAGCCCATTTGAACTACGACTTTAAAAACATCGATGCCACTAGAAAACCTGATGACTTTCATACGCGAAAAAAGTAAAATGAAAAAAATATCACATCGTGCAAGTTCCAGATAGGCAAAAAAATCTATATAAGTAGACGAGACAACGAACGACAAGTCTTCCGAAGGAACAACGTGACCCTCGCGCATGTGTGCGCGCTTTAAAGAAAAGAGATCGTCGAAGTTTTCAATCCGGTTCGAATGTGTGTGTTTGCGTGTGCATGTGCGGACAAGGCCCTGCTGCAATGTACCCATCGATACATCGCTGGATCTTTCGCTCATAGATCGTAGAATACCATCTACATCGATCACGATCGCATCCAGAGCCGATCGTACGAGAAAATCTCTTTTATAGAAATGAGCTTGATCGCCGTTTGCACTTTGATATAGATGGTCTTAGATGTATACTGGCGTGCCTATGTATATTAATATACATACCGAAACAGCTTCTCCATCTTACTTGCAAAGAGACATCTTATTCTAATTGAATCATTAAGTCAGCGTCTTGCAATTTTAAGGACCGATGCGCGATCGCCTTGCTTTTACTTCATATGGTGCCCTGATACAGTTAAACGTGTATGTGTCTCTTATTTGAAATACCTGCGCCGTGCATACTTTGTGCAAAAGTTGTGGATTATTTTTGCGAAATTTCTTATTCAAATGCGACTGCTTTTTTGCATTGGTAATAGTGCAAAATTCAAATAAGTAGGGTAACTTACTTACTATCTGTAAGTCTTGAAATAGAAAAGTTAGGCGTTTCGCCGTATAATATTGTCCCCTCCAACACCCACCTTATTATAAAGTACATAGTAATACTTTGTGTCATAATACCGATATTCTATTCTTAAACTTTTCTATGTCCCTGAAAATGCTGATATTTTTTCATACATCTTGATATTAGGGTTAATCGTCACGCAGTTACAATTTAATTTATTAAAATACATAGCTGTTATTTCATCGTCATTATTTAATTTTATACAAATCGATTAAAAATTTTAAATGTACGCAATATCTCAAACGTATAACTCCGTACAACGTATACTATCTTTAGTCAGTCATTCAAATCATCGCCGTCGTTGTTGTTGTTGTTGACATATACATTGACATTATACACATTAATGTGTGTCTGAATTTGAGTCAGTTTAGCTGTCGTATCTATAAATAGAGGGTAGCGCAAGTGTGTACGATTTTTCAGTTAGTCCTTTTATTTATTCCAAATCAAATAGTGTTTGTGAGTAATTCTTGATCACCGTCGACCGCTTCTGCTCGGTCAAGATCGCCGCCAAGTATCGCAGCTGGCGAACCAAGAATCGCGTCATCATCACCATCACCTGGATCATACTGGTGCTGCTCTTCTTCATCAGCATCTTCGGATGTGAGCACTTTGTCGGCTATCGAGACCTGGCTCCCGGACAGTTCCTCAAGGTATGTTATTTACCCTGAAAGCTTCACCAGCTCCAAGCTGACCTTGCGTAATCGCACGTGCATGAGAATTTCCCTTTTTTTTGTTTTTTGTTTTTTGTCTTGTTTGGTTTTTAGCTATAAAATATATTAATTATACATCGTAAACTGTTTCTTTTGTAGGGTAAATTAAATTTTTTTCTTCAGTTCTCACAATGAATGAACCTAGAAGATCCCAGCGAATTCGTTCGACCGTAAGCGGTAGATCTCAGGGAAACCGAGAAAGTTTCTTGGCCGAGATCAGGAAACCTAAAATCGACTTTTACGATTTTAGCAACCTTTTCGATAACAATCAATCAAACATTCTTTCGGATAAAGAAGATGAATTATGGGCTCTCAGAGAAGTTCTGAGCTCGGGAAGGCAAAATTTGATCGAATGGCTCTTTGAAGTCAAGACTCTTGAATTAAATGGACCAATAGACAGCTACGGAACTATTATTCACATTGCGAAGGAAATGGGACTTAGTTCAATTGTTGACCTTTTTTTTAAAAAATACACTGGAAGAAATTATGTCAATAATTTGGGACTATCACTATTTGATATTGCCTGCCAATGTAATACCGAAGCAATGTTCAAGCTCATAGACAACGAAAGAGATCCTAAAGTCGAAGATGACGCTATTGAGGAGGAGTTGAAAAAAAAATTCGAAAAAATTTTCTTGAATGAAGAACTCAAGTTATGGGCTCTAAAAAAATTGCTGAACGAAGCTCATACAAAAACGTTTAACTCTAGTCTAAACATTTACAGAGACAGCCTCAACCAAACTCTCATTGACCTTGCGAAGGAGATGAAATTCAACATTAGTCAATCGGAACAATCACTTTTTGATATTGCCTATCAAACAGATAATATCGAAGAATTTAATAAGTTTATAGACAAAAAACGAAATCTTAAAATCAAAGACGACGATATTAAGAAGGAGTTTAAAAAAAAAAATCAAAAATATTCTCTCGAATACAGAACATAAATTATGGGCTCTAAAAAAAGTTTTGAACGAAGCTCTGACAAAAGATGCTAGCTTTAGTCTAAACATTTACAGAGACAGCTTCAACCAAACTCTTATTCATATTGCCATGGAAATGAAATTTGATGCAGCTGTTGATTATTTTTTTTTAAAATATGAGGGAGAAAATTGTACCAGTGATTTCGGGCTATCACTTTTTGATATTGCTTGCCAAACAGGTAACATAAAAGTAATTGATATGTTTTTAAAACGAAAGGTCAATATAAATGGTTCAACGGATCAACAACCATATCCACCTCTGCACTATGCCGTACGAGCAATGCAGACAGACACTGTAAAACATCTTTTGGAACACAAAGCTGACCCTGATATACGTGAATCGAGAAGAAATTGGACAGTTTTGCACTGGATATGCGACGACACGTGTGAAACGATATTCGACCGAACAGATAAAAAGTTGGCAATGATCAAGATACTGGTCGAGAAAAATTGCGACGTCAAATGCAGAGACAAATATGGCAACAGTCCTGCGTTATTATTGGTCAAAGCTATTGATAGAATAAGACAAACAACCAAGTATCGTACTACTCCTCAAGAATCATTTCTCAAAAAAATCATAGAACTTCAATTAAAAAGATTGAAATTTGTTTTACCTGCCAACCCGAGCGCGTTACACTACATCATTAAAAATTATCATCAAACCCCTGAAGGAGCGAAGATAATAGATTTCATTTTGAAGCACGACCAAAACCTTATAGATCGTAACGATAAAAACCAAGCACTACAGCTTGCTTTAGACTTCCGTTATTTTGATGTGTTCGAGGTACTAATTAAACATTCTGCAAGAATACAGCTTAATTTACTTTGGCAAAACCATTTGAATTGAATGAAAATTTAAATCTCTTGTGCATTTTACAACTTTTGAAGGAAAAAAATATAAAATTGTCTGTCGAGACCTACTTGAAATTGGTGCTATATTTAATGGAACCTCAAATTAGAAGCATAACGGATAAGATCAATGCGATGGAAGTGGGCTTATCAATCGTTGAAAAAGATTTACAGATGATCGAGTCATTGGACCTAATGAAAAAAATGTACATACGAATTGGTAAATTTCTCAAAGTGGATGAGTATAGCGAATTTAAAGTGAAGTCGGCAACTTGTGAATTTTTCCGTCAAATGTGTGAGAAATGGGGTAGAGAAATAAATGTCACAGAAACTACCCTCCATTTTGTTAAAAATATTTCTAAAGATGAAGTTGAGCGTGAGCTGAAGTACATTATCAAAAACACACAACTGGATTTTCGTAAATGTTACGAAATTGTAAACTATAAGAATTTTCTGAAGAAATTTCCTATCTGTGGTAGAGCTTTCATAGCTATCGTCGTCAGAAAATTAATTCGCGAATTTTTAATCCATGTTTTAGGTAAACTTTCGAACGGAAGTAAAATTAATAATAATATGAGCAATGAAGAAATAGTCGAAGAAATCAAGATTAAATCAAATGAAATTTTAGGTAAAATCAAAAATAAAAATGTAGTAATATAATTTTCAATTTAACAAATTGGTTTTTTATAATCAAGTACTTTTCAAACCATTTTGATGAAGAGTTAACTTGCACTTATGAATGCTTTAATATTTTTTTAACTTTTTCTTTATTAATGTATATAACTTTGTTTCGTGATTTTACATGTACATAAAGATATTCTCCGTAACATATTTTTTATGTTCAGTTGACCAAAAATACTTTTGTAATCTTGCAACGGATTTGCAAGTTGATAATCATGATTTAATATGTATATAATTTAACTAAAAAATCTCAATTTTAAGCAAACATGTAAATAAGTTAGGGAAGAAATTTTGGCATACATGAAATAAAACGAAATATAAATCTGGTCATCAAAATATAATTATGCCGTGATAATTTCTCATATTAACTATCCTCCACAATAATTTAAAATATATAATTTATTTAACTATGATGTTTGATTGAACAGATAATATTGTTTTCGGTCGATTAGAAGCACAAAATAAAGTCATGGCAACTCTTTTACAATTTATACAATTGTGTAATTTTATACAATACCTCAGGCCAGACAACAAAAAACTTTCTTCAGGCCGATAAGTAAATCAAAATCGATTCTCCGAGCTCGATTTAATTAGTGCAAATCGAGGGTCCAGATTGAAAAAGTGTGAACAACTTTTTTTGTAAACGTTCTAATATCTTGACGTACGGACATTCTAACAGAATTAATGGTAGCTTTTAAGAATTTTTCACGATTGATTTTAAAGTCCTTTTAAAGTGTATTATATTGACCGAGACGCAGTTACGAGTGGTAACGCAAATTCATACTACACACGAACTCACACATGCAGTATTTCAAAGGGAGAGAAAGATATCCTGTCTCTCTTTTCTCTCTCGGGTCGACGGAGCGTCGAGTATTATAGCTCATTGTCAACGCAAAACTCGAAAAGAGTTTCAATTGTACTTATAAGCGTGGTAACTGCTGCGACGCGGTGGCGCCCGAACCGTATTATTATCGACGTCCTACGCGAAAATCCGGCCGGCTGCAGGATTATTAAGGCTAGTAAGGACAATGATTTTCTCGCACATTTTTTCCTTTTTTTTCTTACCCTGTCTCTCTCTCTCTCTCTTTCTCTCTTTTATCATTCGTTGATGCCGATTACAAAACTAGCACGCGCGAGCTTATCGTTCAATTTTATTTCGAAATTATTTTGCGAGGCTTTACGGAATTATGCTAATTTCTTTTTGTTTTGACACAGCAGCCTAACGCGTATTTATGATACCATTTTTTTCGATCTAGACATGAGTAATTAAATGGCTGTTCGACGATATGCAACTTGGTACAACGATGATAATCAGTTGTTAGCTTTTATGTAGCTTGATATTGTTGATTGAATGTCGAACCATGTTTGATAGCCTATTCAACATTTTTAAGAACGCCACAAAGTTAATGTTCATAAGTTATTTTTATTACTAGGATCGAATTTCTCAGCATGCGTCAAGTGTACGAATTCATACACACGATTGAAGGTGTACCATGAATACGCGTGGGCTTACACTTTTTATTTTTTCCTAACGGATATGCTCCTGCACTGCGAGTGAAGGTGTATCGAAGTCTAGAAGCTGCTGGCAAGTGTAAAAATATAATATATTTTTATAATTTTCAGAAAATGACATAACTTTTAGACGCGTTTGCTTTTTTTTTCAAACGAATCTCGGAAAGGGTGGCATTATTATGACAACAAGATTATACGTAGTTTTGCGCGAAACGAAAAAGAAATAGACTCGGTGCGGTATGCATTCCGACCTCAGGTTGTATGACCCTCGGGATCGTAAATTTTACTTCATATAGGCTCGTTGTCACTGACTCCGAGAGAGAGAGAGAGAGAAGGAGAGAAATATCTTTTTTACGAGCTCGTTTTACGTATATATGTACTCGTTATTCCATTTGTACTCGAACGATCGTTATACGATGATGATATATTCTACTCCGAGTTAAGATGATGATTGCTTGTTGATTGATAGTCCACTTGAGGATATTTGACAAACTAATAAACAGCTTGCGTGAGATTTGTCCCTTTTTCTGGGGCCTCGGATCGTGAAAAATTTTTTGTCAACGGTACATGCATTCGAAAGCGAAGAAAAATCGGCTCTTTCTATATATCGATATCGGAAGAAAGCTGCGCTCGCGCGCTGCCCCCCGGTACACGTGCCGGGCGTTTTTTTCGTAATCGTGGACGCAGACGACGACACAACTCAATCTCTTATTATATCCCTGGCTTGTTATCCGATGTACCGTTCCGAACAACAATGGTCGTTTTTTTCAGCGCGCACATACGTCTGTAAGCCATAAAGATCTGCGCACATATATAGACACCAAGAGCTGTGCGAGATAATTGTTAACTCGACGCATGCGGAGGCTTATCTTGCACAACATATACGTGTCCATTCCAAGGACGTAAAATTTCCCATTGACGCTCTGTACTGGTGGTAGAATTTAAAAAAAAGCGAAAACGTTGAATTATTATGCATTAATAATAAAAATGATAAGAGCGCGTGGAAGGGTGTCAGCATTGCTCTCGCTATTTATCAAAACTTTATTTTAGATTAAAAACTTTATTATCAATAAATTTACATTAATTACTTTGAATTTTCTCTAGTAGCTTTTTATTTTGCTCGATTTAATTGTTTTTAGGAAGATTAACTTCAAAAATTTAATTCCATCTTAACTTTTTTAAATTAAAAGATTTAAGAGTGAAAAAAACAACGATATAACAATTCAATAATTTTCCAAATTTAAATAATTTTCAAAATGAAAAATTATTGTAAGTTTCAAGACATAAAATAGATTTTATATCATTGTAAGATAAAATAAAATGAATACAAGCTAGTATTTCAGATTCTATCGTTATTTATTGGTAACATCTTTTAATGAATCAAGGTTTATGTATGTGAGAAAAGATAACAACGCTGAAAATGTATCTTCAACGATCGAAAAGGTGTTCAGAAAATGAAATGTATGAGAATCGAACTCCTTCGCACACTAAACCTGAAATGTTGTAACGTACTCGTGTGTTGCCTGCTCACAGGAGCAGCAGCAGCATCAGCGCCCAGACTTTTAATAATTGTCCCTCGAAAACCCTGCCCTAGCCGTCGTAAGTCTCCATGGCATCAGATACAAACGTTAAAATAAAATAAAAATTTGTACATCTCCATAATTGCTCGCGTCCATCTGGACTTTCGATCTCTCGGGCGCGCATTTATAATGTATTCCGCGAAAAGGGCTCAACTTTGCTCATTTAAGGAGGCGAATCACTTGCTATACGCAAATAACGCTATCAACGTCATTCGACACGAATACTTACATGTACAACAAACATGTCCTCGTCTGGCGATCAGTTTTAGCGATACGCATTTGCATATATACACATAAGAAATCGCTTGCAGGTGTTCCAAAGCACTTTCCTGCTGCCGTGGCTGTGGCTGCTACACATTTGTATACATACATGCATACATATCTGTTCTTTCTCTTATTGTGTAACTAACTATTATCCCCCGCAGCAGCTTATATGCAGCGATCTTCTCGTCTCTCTGTCTGTCTCTGTTCATTTTCCCCTTAAACTCGTTATGATATCCAAGCGAATACGTACGTATATGTGTGTGCGAGCCGCGCCATGCTATTCGCACACTTCTCGTATTTCCTTAAACAGAAGAAGAAAGTTTTGCTCCTCGAAAATAATAGCGCGAGTAACAATCATAGAAAAAGTTTTTATATGCGCAGCTCCCGCGCACATATAAGTATGCAGAATGAGAGATAAGGGAAAGCGCGTGCGTACATTATACGTACATTCATTTCGGTCCACGGAGGCTGTTATCATAAATGTGCACGGCCCATAAGAGCGTGTATAATTAAGAAGCAAGTGCGATTTAACATATTACGATTATGCAGATAGGCTATTTGGACTTGGCCTCACATTGTAAGGACTTTCTCCTATCGGCGAACACCTGAATGCGTAATATTAATCAAACGAGAGCTGCGCTCGATCGGACGGTGCACTTTTCTTTATCGGTACGCACTCCGACGCCGGATAGGATTTCCTAGGTCGGTGCGATCGACGCGCGCGTGCATATAATATACGAACAAATTGAGCCCTCGATGCGAAGCAGAGAGTCATCTGCAGAGATCAAATATCGGTCGAAGGAAGCCACGAAGGCAGCTATCCGTAACAGCTCACCTCTCAAAAGGGCATTATAAGGAAAAGACTTTATCTCGAGGGCTTTCTTTACGATCAGCATTTCCAAATTTACGTTTGACAACATAATTTCTCGTGCTCCGTAGGGTGTACTGTTAGAATCGCAAAACTCTCACGTGCGACTCTTTTTTTGGCGAGCTGCTGCTGCTGCTGCTGCTGCTGGCAAGGGGGCATTAAGAAGAAAGGATATTCAGTGCATGTGGGTTGTTCTTTTTTC